GGCGGCGCAAGCAACGCGCGCGGGTGCGGCGCAAGTCTGGCCTCCTCCTTCTCCTGGGCCCTGCGGCTCCGCAGTCTTCCTTCACTTGGGCCCTGCCGCGCTCAACCCTGCTCTGTCTGAGCACAAGCTCCGTTGCATTACTCTCGGGGACAGTGACATAGGCCTCTCCTATTAAGAGTGTTCCTGTAGGGTAGCCTAAGATCCTTTGGTGATTTTTATTTGTTTGATTTTAAGAAAATAAAAGGCTTGTGTGGGCTTCATATTCTTCTCACACTCAGGGTGTCCGAGAAATTCTCTTCTAGGAAGGTAAAATTACAGCTATAATGGGGTCCTCAGACAAGAAATTGTCACCATCCCTTGGAGAGCCAGGATATAAAACGTGGAACTAAACTTTGAAATTGCATTAGGGGGGCTTTCTCTAAACTTTGAAATTGTATTTGAAAAAATAGGGGCTTTCTGCAAATTTTGAAATTGTGTTAACAGAGGCTTTCTCCTAACCTGTGTGTTTGTGTGTAGTACTAGGAATTAACCTAAGGCCTTCAAGCACGCTAGGTAATTGCTCTACCACAGAACAACATCCTCATCCCTTTTTATTCTGTCTTGAGGTAGAGTCTTTATAAATTCCCAAGACTGCCCTTGAATTTGCAATCCTCCTGCCTCAGCTAATAGGCCTGTGTCACAATCCCCACCTCTTCTAACTTTTATGTTGTTTTTTTTTTTTTAATCTTGGTTGGTAATGATTGCCACTTCGCATAATTGACAGTAATTTTCAGAATTATAGAATTTTGCAAACTCTAATTCACTATGAGGGTCACCACCCTCTAAGCAATCACATAAAGTAGCCTCAGCGCTGAGACTTATAGCATCATTGAGGTTGAATAGTTCGTCTCTTTCCAAAAGATAATCCAGGCCTTTCCTGAAAGCTTTCTGGTTTGGGGTAGTCTGGACATTCACTTGAAAATAAGGTGAATTGGTGGATGGATAGATGGATATGTAGTAAATCGAAAACAGTTCAACATTAATGATAGAATCTAGTTGGTGGGTATAGGGTGTTCACTGCAAATTCCTACTTTTCTATGTTTGGAAAGTTTTCATATTGAAATGAGGGAAGGGGGTTGCATCAAACAGAGTTGGCCTAATCTTTGCTGCATATTAGCTGAGAGATTGAACCAAAATGCCCGGTATTCAAGTCTCCTCATCTGATATGGATAAATCTGATGTCACAGAGTTAGCAGGGAAAAAAAGGTCAAGAGTTTTTCCCGCAATACTAGAGTCCCTCAAGTCAAGGATGGTCTGGAGTGGTGGCAGACGCAAACGAAAGGCAGCGGCGGGTTACAAATCGCTGAGTACGGCAACGTGGCAATTTGACCAGTTCAGGTAACTGTCAGGCTGTGTGTGACTGACGCGGTGTGGAACTCCTTAATGCATGACTCCGACCCCAAGAAAGAACTTTAAGGATGCTCCAGAAGCACTCAGCAACCGCAAGCCTTACCGTCTTTTTTCCAGAATACCTGTCCTCCCCCTTCATTCCCGCTAGTTCCCCATGGGTCTTATAAGCCTTTTGCACCAGAAATAACGATTATATTCTCTGGTTCTAAAACATCCCACCGCAGACTGTTCATCTCGTCTTTTACCAGTTTTATTTTAGGAAACGGGAGTGTTACTACTGAATCTGGAGGAAATCGGCTCTAAGACACGCGGACTTCTCGAGGAGAAGCGTGCGAGGTTGCGACACCTTGGCAACAGAGGACAGCCAGCCCAAGAGCCCATTATCACAGACAAGCTCCAGATCCCACGCCCCGGGAAAACTACAGTTCTAGCGCGCGGCTGGGGGCGGGGCGCCGAGAAGCCCCGCCCAGGCTCTTTATGACGTAAGACAATGCCTGCCACGCGTCGGAATTCTGCCCTGGGAAGAGCCACCCAAAGCGAAAGACACGCGGTGGGGAACGCGGTGGTATCGTGGGGCCTGTTCCAGGAATCATGCATTTCTTATCCAGATTAGTTGTTTTCTTTTACCTGTGGGGCTTTGTTACTGCTCAGGGACTAAAGAAAGAAGAGAGCCCAGAGGAAGTGAAAATAGAAATTTTGCATCGTCCCGAAAACTGCTCTAAGACAAGCAAGAAGGGAGACCTGCTTAATGCCCATTATGATGGCTACTTGGCTAAAGATGGCTCGAAATTCTACTGCAGGTAAGAAATGCTGCAAACTGTCCCCATGTCCAATTGATACACCAAATCTTACCTCCCTCCACCAACCAAAAGGCTAATTATTTGGTGGTTTTGTTTCTGTTTAAAGTAAGTTGAACCATTTATTTGTTTTTGTTGTTGTTGTTTTGTTTTTTTGGTACTAGGGAGTGAACCCAGATGCACTTAACCACTGAGCACAACCCTAGCCCTTTTATTTTGAGACAGGGGCTCACTAAGTAGCTGATGCTGGCTTTGAACTTGTGATCCTCCTGCCTCAGCTTCACCAGCCGCTGGGATTACAGGCGTGCACCACCACACTTGGTCATTTCGTCATTTTAAAAAATCAAATTAGATGTCAGTAGTTCCCTAGTATACTGAATATATTTTAGTTGTTGAAAATGATGGCTTAATATCTGATAAAAGTACACTACACCCCCACACATCTCCAACTACCACCACTATCTATCCTTAGAACTAAATCAAGAGATCACCTATGATAGCATTCATAATTTCCCTGAATTGAAACGTCTTAGAATCACATTGGATGATAGCTAAAAAGATTTTATTCCATCCCTCAAGCTGGAGTGTGGAGTGTGGTTTCTCACTACAACCACAACAATGACTTGCCTGGTGTTTTCTGCTGGGCCTCCTGTCCTACTCTCATCCCACCTACTGCTTAGTCTGATTTAATAAACAGTATATTATTCTGAGTCCGAATGCTATTATCCTATAAAGATAAGATTGGGGGAAAGTAAATTCTTCTTATTTAGAAGAAAAGAGAGACATGTAGGCTAAGGCTGTGGTACACCCTATAAGGCTAACAGTGAGGGAGGCTGAGACAGGAAGATCTCAAATTCAAAGCCAGCCTCAACAACTCAGGAGCCTCTGTCTCTAAATAAAATACAAAAAAGGGCTAAGGATGTGGTTCAGAGGTTAAGCACCCCTGGGTTCAGTCTCCAGTACAAAATATATATATATATATATATATATACTATTTTAAATTACCATTAAAATGACTTTTTGAGACTAAACCCACTCCATCTTTTTTTTTATAACAAACCCAGGTAAGTTAAATGAGTTATATGTATAAACCATACAACAAGTTAGAGGCTGGAGACCCACTAAAAAGTGAACTATTTCTGTAGCGATCACAATAAAAAAGAAAATGAGATGACTCCTAATGATTAGCTTTGAGCAAATCATACTTCTTTCTACCACTTTTAGGCAAGTTTGAGCCAAATATCCCATTGGGGGTTCAAAAAGGGTGCTAATATGGGAAAAGAGATTCTAATTTTAAATTATAACTAAACACCCACCTGTAATTTGAAGTTTGGCTTCTTGAAATCAGCTTACCTAAGATAATTTTTTTTATTATAGCCGGACACAAAACGAAGGTCACCCCAAATGGTTTGTTCTTGGTGTTGGACAAGTCATAAAAGGCCTAGACATTGCTATGATGGATATGTGCCCTGGAGAGAAGCGAAAAGTGATTATACCTCCTTCATTTGCATATGGAAAGGAAGGATATGGTAAGTTGTAATATTTATTTTTCTTTTCAGTTATATTTGAAAATAAATCATAGATTTTTGTGTGTATATCCAAAAGAATTGAAAACAAAGTCTAGAAATTTTGTACGTCCATGTATGATTCACAGTAGCATTATTCACAATAACTAAAGGCAGAAGCAACCTTAGTATTCACCAAAGAGTGTATAAACAAAATATGGTATATTCATACAGTGGAATGTTATTCAGTCTTAAAACTGGAAGGGAGTTCTGACCAATGCTACAAAGTAGATGAGGGCATTATGCTAAGTGAAATAAGCCAGACACAAAAAGAGAACACTGTGTGATTCCATTTATGTGAGGTATCTAGAGTAGTCAAACTCATAGAGACAAAGTAGAAAAGTGTTTTCCAGGGACTGGAGGGAGAGTGAAAGGGAGAGATATTAAATAGGTACAGAATTTCAGTTTTGCCAAGAAGTTTTGGTAATTGTTTGCATAGCAATATGATTGTGCCTTACTAAACAGTATGTTTTAAAATGATTAATATATATTTTACCACAATTAAAAACAAACAAAAAAATAATGGAGAAAATAATCACAGAATCATAGGGTTCAACAAACTCTAGCTATCTCTAAATCAGTTAAGTTCTTTATACTTACAAAGAAAATAAGACATTGTTGGAATATAGGTCTCTGCCCAGAGTTCTTTCCATTATATAGCAGCAGCACTCATAATGATTTTGCATAGTCTATAAACTCTATTTTGGACATTTCTATTTTTGGTATCATTATAGTATTGTTACATGGATATTTATAAAAACATAGATCTTTGTAAGCAAAAGTTAAATTAATAAAACAGGAAGCCAGAACATGATTTTAAAGAACAGCATTGCAAAAGGAATACTTGAAATATAATAAGCTCAGTCACTGTTAATCCAATACAAGATAGGCCTTGAAACCTACAGGGAATGAATTCTATAGCAAGAAGTTCCACAAACCCTAGGTAAAGCAGATAAATGGGGAAAATGCAGCACATATGAATGACCTACCTCTAAATGAGCCAACTTTATAAACAAATGGTTCACTTCTTAAAAAATAAATAGCTTTTTAATCTAATAGAATACTTAACTTTATTTATAAAGAAAGGGAAATTAAAGTAAAAATTAGACACTATTTTTTTACCCATCAAAGTAGCAAAGATAAAGTTGGCAAGAGCATGGAAGAATGAGCCATCTCTTGCATTATTGCTGGGAATGCCAACCATTCAGCCTAACAATTTCATCAAAAGGAAAAATATGCATATCTTCTGACCCATTAATTCTGTTACTGGGAATGTGCACAAAGATACATGTAAAGAAACATTCATTGCAGATTCTAGCAAAAGATGGAAAACTGCCTGACTATTTATTGCTCAGTGATTAGTTAAATAAATTATGGTATATCTATACAGTGAATTAATCTATAGCCAGTAAAAAGAATGGTGTAGAACTATATGTGTGTGTTAATGTGTTAAAAATAAAGTGAGATAGATTACATTCCTGCAACAATTTTTTTTTTTTTTTTTTTTTTGTGTGGAGTACTGGAGATTGAACTCAGAGGCACTCAACCACTGAGGCACATCTCCAGTCCTATTTTGTATTTTATTTAGAAACAGGGTCTCACTGAGTTGCTTAGCACCTAGCTTTTGCTAAGGATGGCTTTGAACTCATGATCCTCCTGCCTCAGCCTCCCAAGCTGCTGGGATTATAGGCATGTGCCACCACGCCTGGCTTGCAACAAATATTTATTTAATTTTTTTTTTAGTTGAACATGGACACAATACCTTTGTTTTACTAATTTATTTATTTTATGTGGTGATGAGGATCAAACTCAGTATCTCACGTGTGCAAGGCAAGCACTCTGCTACTGAGCTACAACCCCAGCCCCACAACAAATATTTATTAATAATCTATCTCAGGCTCTCTTAGGCACTGGGCACCGGGCAAAAAGTAGACACTACTTGCTAGCCTTAAAAAGCTTACATTATAGCATGGGAATTTCACCTGTGCATATATCTTCACAGACTATATCTGGAAAGACAGACAGTTATCTGATGACCTTAAGTGTTGGGGAAAGAGGACTAAAAGTCAAGGGTGAGAAGATTTCTTCTCAGAAAAAAAAAAAAAAGTAGTGATTTCCAAACCTTTTCTTTCTAGCAAGAGCAGGGGTCCCAAATTAGATTGAGGGAAATCAGTGCCACAAGCCCAGTCAGACCTAGGGAAGTGGTTCTAGGAAACAACAGCTTCATATTCAATGCTTTTTGACCAGTCTTTTAGTCCCATCTAAATAGCTCCTGGGGTTGGGCTTGGTAGCACATGCCTGTAAACCCAGTGCTTCCAGAGGCTGAGGCAGGAGGATCACAAGTTCAAAGCCAGCCTTAGCAACTTGGTGAGACCCTGTCTCAAAATAAAAGGTAAAAAGGACTGGGGATGGGTTTCAGTGGTTAAGGGCCTCCAGGTTCAATCCCTGGTACAAAAAAAAAAAAAAAAAAAGTTAAAAAAAAAGAAAACTCCCAGGGCTGGGGATTCAGTAACTCAGTTGCAGAGCAATTGCTAGCATGCTGAAGGTCCTGGGTTCTATCCCCAGCTCTGCAAGAAAGTCAAGGGGCTGGGGGAGGGAGGGATTTAAAAAAAAAATCTCCCATTGTGCCAAAACTTGTATATCTCAATTTTTATTTGTGTAATCTAGGAGAGAAAGAAAATGGAAGATAGATTAAGTTTAATACTGTTCTAAAACTGTTGTCATAAAGTTGAGGCCATTTTCTAGATTAAACGATGGTAGGCAGTTTACTTTTTAGTATCTTTTGTTTCATTTTCAGAGTTTCCCTTTCTTTCTTATGTTGTCTCATCAGATGCCTGCATATTCTGCCTCCTCCCATAGCACCCACTCTTCTATCTGCCTAGAACACCTACATCCCTTATCAACAGGTGCCAGTCCTGAATTCATTGTTCTCAGGCAAATGATCACTTATTTTTCATAAACTAATTTATGCTTAGATATGAATGACTACCCAAGTTGCCTAAGCTATTAAGACACTTGCTATAGTATGTAGAAGTTTGATTTCAAGAAATTAGTTCATATTCAGTTTGAGGTGTCTCCAATAGAAAAATGGTGATGTTCACTAATAATACCACCAGCACCTTCATTGTACCTCTAAGGAAACTGAGGCCCTGAAAAAATGTATTCACTGGAACATAGTTAACTGCTAGCCTTACCTGAATTACAATAGCTTGGGTTATATTATTTTGAAAGTTGCAGTGTAGATCTTAAGTAAAAGGAAATTTATGTTTTTAATTTGTTCTTAATTATCAGGAGAAGTTGTTTTTCTGTCATATGATGATTGCAACTGAATAGAGTTAGTTCTTGATTAAATAAAATTTTTAAAAGTAAGTTGTTATTAAGACCTAACAGTAGCTATAACTTTATTTTAGGTGATACTTGAAGAAGTCTTTCCTCTGCGAAATGTCCTTGTCTCATGTCACAGAGCACCCCTGCATGTCTTGAAATGCATGTGACTTTCTAGTGCTTTAACTAACGATATATGTGGTATGTATAGATTCTTTACATTAACTCCTACTTCTTTGGTCTGCTTCTCTAAGTAGCAATGCTGTAGTAAGTGCATATTTTTCTCTTTATCATACTTTAAGGTTTTTTTGAGAAAAAAAGGAACTAATTGGCAACATTTTATATGTTTACAGTAGAATTATGATACAAACTTCATTTGTATCAGTGATATTTTTTTCTTTCAGAAATTTGAATTTGTTCCAGAGGTATAGCTCAGTGGTAGAGCACTTGACTGGATAGCATGTGTGAGACCCTGTGTTCCATCCCAAGCACCCAAAAAAGGAATCTCTGTTTGGGGTTTGTCTTTAATTACTATCAGAAATTATTTTTTCTGGGGCTGGAGTTGTAGCTCAGTGGTAGAGCGCTTGCCTCTCACATGTGAGGCCCTGGGTTCGATCCTCAGCACCACATAAAAATAAAGATAAATCTCTTTATTGTAGTTGTCCATCTACAACTAGAAAAAATAATTTTAAAGAAAAGAAATCATTTTTCTGTCTTAAGGTGATTATAACTGGACAGAATGAGAATCGGTTTTATAAAAAGGATATTGAATCAAGCTCCAGCTCTTTAAAGTCAGGTAATATGTGGTGCACTATTTCACTAATTAGGACTTACATGTTAGTCAATGTAATGCATGGGTAGATTTTTCTTTGTCCTGGTTTTGGAAACTACTGGTATACTGCCTCTTTTGGCTATAAGTTGCAAACCCTTTTCTACTTGGATTGTTTAAATATTTTAACAAGAATTATCTGCTTTTTCATTAAAAAGAATTGCTGTTCCTTTTAAATTTGGTCACTTTCAAAATAAACATGGGTCATGTATTCAGCAGAAATTTGAACACCTATAGTCGATCAGGCACTGTTTGAGACCCTAGGAATATATAAGCTACCCACTGCCTCCAAGAAAATCATTTTGGCAAGTCATTTTTATGAAATATTATCTGAAACAGAGCATAGCTTACTAAAATTATCTGACTTTAGCTAACTGGTTAACTATTAGTAAGAATTACTCAACTGTATACTTAAAAATTTTTTTATTATGATTAGAAATTTCTTTGTAAAATTATTCCTGGATTTTTTCTGTTATCAGAAAGATTAAAAGATTAATAAAGATCTTGTAATAGTAATAAATAACATTTTTCACACTTTCTTGATACCAGATGCTATTAAAAACACATATAAGTATATGATCTTATCAAACTGTCATGGTGGTTTATGAGGTAGACAGTGTTATCATCATTTCTCCCTTAAAGATGGGAAAATTGATGCCCAGAAAGGTTAAGTAACCAGTAAAAAAAAAAAAAAAAAAAAAAAATCACAATTTAATGTCTATAATTTGAAAAACAGATATATTATTACTTATGATTTATTTATGCTTCCAAGTAGCTGCTTGAAACTTTTTCTAAGAGATTACTCATCTATACTTGCAAATTTTTCAGCTTATACATTTCTTCTCTAATAATCATAAAATTTATGTTTATTTTAATTAGGAAATAGTGGTTATATAATTCCTTTGAACTGATTTGGTTTAAAAACAGATGGAAAAAATTGATTAAAAACAAAAGCAAAAGGGCTAGAGATGTAACTCAGTGGCAGAATGCTTGCCTAGTGTGTATGAAGTCTTGGGTTGAATCCTCATCACTGTGAGAAGAAAAAAAGAAAGAACCACAAAAAAAAAAATAAAAAAAATTAAAAGGCTAAAACATTTTAAGAAAAAAATTCAATGGTATTTAGAAATCAGTTCTTAAATGTGAAATAATATAATCATAATACTATTATGACAAGAATAAATGCTTGTAACATATAAATCACACTGTTAAAATTTGTACTCTTAGCAGATGGCAAGATTCCACCTGATGCAACGTTGATTTTTGAGATTGAACTTTATGCTGTGACCAAAGGACCACGGAGCATTGAAACATTTAAACAAATAGACACAGACAATGATCGGCAACTCTCTAAAACCGAGGTGATTAGAACAAATTTCAAGTAGATAGTCTAATTTTTTTCATTATAAATTAAATACATCTGTTGCAACTGTTATCTTTTTAGTCCTATCTAGCATGGGCTTTTAGCACTTTAGTAGAGCTGGTTATTAAAAAAAACTATACTCTGTGAAGAAAATGTGCTTTTCCAATATAAAATTGAAGAGTCATTCTATTCAATTAACTTTCTCCCCGTACGACAGTCACTAAAATCCCAAACTATTTATTTGTACAAGATTCTTCCATTTTCTAGGCTCTAGGAGTGGATCTCTTTCAGTCAGCATCATAAGAATTTGTAACAGGGTAAATAATTCCCTCCTCAGAGGATCATTCATGAGAATTTCACAAGTTTATGAAAAGAACTAGCAAGAATTTGAATTGGGTGGACCAGGAAGTTGCCAAACAGGAGTCAAGAGTTTGGCTTGACATTATATATGAATTGAAAGATTAATAAAGATCTTGTAATACTAATAAATAACAATTTTAAACTTTCTTGGTACCAGATGCTATTATAAACACATAAGTATATGATCTTATCAAGCTGTCATGGTGGTTTATGAGGTAGACAGTGTTATCATCATTTCTCCCTTAAAGATGGGAAAACTGATGCCCAGACAGGTTAAGTAACCAGTAAAAAAAAAAAAAAAAAAAAATTCACACAGCTGTAAGTGGCAAAATCAGGATTGCAAGCTTGGCAAGCACTGCCTGCCTCTTTCAGGGAATTTCCATCATGACTATTTTAGAGCTAATGCTTCTTTATTGAAGTCTAGGGCCTTACCTAGGCTCACAGTCGGTACTCTTAAAATTAGTAACTCAGATGTCTTCCCTCTTTACTTGTTTGAAGGCTATTCAGATGCTTAACTCTACTACCCTGTTAAGTAGAAAAGGGCTCTGCTGGTCACTGGTTTCAGATGACAGGACTAAATCCTTTTTCTGTTTCTTTTTCCTCTCTCCCACCAATCCTCTTCCCACGTTCCACTTCCTCCTCTAGGAACTTAGTAAGGACTTTACCCTGGGGTAGCCAACAATGGAAATGGGAGAGGGAGAAGAGAATATCCCCAGTGCTAAAGAAGAAGGGCAGCTAGAGGGGAACTGTTCTCAGCATGTATCTCTCTGTTGACTCCTTCACCCTCTTTAGAGTGAATAGCAGCTGCAGATGGATCCACATAGCACCCAAGAGTTCAGCCCAGGTGGAGTCCGGTTGTCACCACAGGCACACACAGAGATGTGTTCTGCAGTAGGATTACTCCTAGACACTAGGGAATCTTCAGTTCTTTTCTGGAAAATAACAGAGAAAATTCAAACGAGTGGCCTACTTAACTAAAAAAAAATTTTCACAAGTTTATCTTTTTTCACAAGGTTATCAAGTGCATTATCACCAAATGGATGAGTGATTTTCACACTCTTAAATGACAATAGCTGTCTTTTATTGACTCCTGTAAACATTACTCTAATCCTCACATGGATCCTATAACATAGATTTTGCCCTTCTTCTACAGAAGACATACCTGAGGTTCAGAAAAGTTGAATTATTTGTCCAAGACCACGAGCCAGTATATGGCAAAGCCTGGATTTGAAAGATGAACTGCAAGAAACTTCTTTCTTAATCATCAGAAAGATTTAGTAAATAACTTCTCTGGTATAAATGACAGGGGACAGGATAATAGTACTTTATTAAATTACAAAATGGAAGTAGTATGGAACCTAGTACTAGCAAAGTTAAGGTCATGTTCTTACCCACTGCTTTTTTTTTTCTTTCAGTTTTTTATCTTTATTTTATTTATGTACTTTTATGTTGTGCTGAGGATTGAACCCAGTGCCTCACGTGTGCTAGGCAAGTGCTCTAATACTAAGCTACAACCCCAGTCCCCCTACTGCCTTTTGAACCCTTTTCTAAATACTACAGAGTATTAGAAAAGGAGTAGATTTTGAGAATCAGCTATATTGGATATAAAAGGAAATAAATTTACCTATTCAGAAACTGCAGATTATTTGAGGCTATTTCAAATTCTCTGTACCTATATAGATTGCTATATTCATTGGGGGATAAATGTATCCCCCTTCATATAGAATGAAAGTCACATTTGAAAACAGTTGATATATCCTACAATAAGGTCCATTGATCATTCTAAAGTCTATTTGTGATGGGTTGACCTAGGGATATATATTGCTAAAATCCTTTCAGGGTTCAACTTCTCTTACTTCAGATGTGCTCCAACCTTACAGAACATTATCTCCAGATTTTTGTGCTTTGTTTTCTTTCATGATTATATAGGTTAGCACTTTCCAACGAAAATATTATTGAGTCACACATTCAATTGTAAATTTTTTAGTAACCACATTTTAAAAAGTAAAAACAAAGACAAGTGCAGTGGTGCACACCTGTAATCTCAGCTACTTGGGAGGCTCAATTGAGCCCATGAGTTTGAGACCAGTCTGGGCAATGTAGTGAGACTCTGTCTCAAGAAATGAAATGAAATAAAATGAAAAGAAAACATAGGTGAAATTTTAGTGATTTATCTTAACTCCACATATCTAAAATAGTACCATTTCAACATGAAATCTATATAAAAACTTACAAGATATATTATTTGGTACTATCTTCAAAATCCGTAGTGTGTTATATATTTATAGTAACTTATCTGGTTGTTGTAGCCATATTTCGAATGCTCAATAGTCACATGTGGCTAGTGGCTACTGTTTTGGACAGTGCTTTATTATGTATTTACATAGAGAAATTTCATATTACCTGGAGAAACAGGGAATAATACTTCAGAATGCCAGTTATTTATTTGACATTGTTATTAGATTGTCATAGTTATATAGACTTGAAGAGTGAACTATAGAAGCATGGAAAAATTAAGAATTAAATTTTATTTTAAAATCTGTGGTTGAGTTTTTTTTGCTTATACAATATTAGTTTTAGAGCTTATAGAACTGCTAATGTGGATTTATTCACTAATGAAAATCCTTAGGAATAATTAGTGTGAACATGTAGATTACTAGAAAGCATTTAGTTTCAACAAAATTCATGGTATCTGCCACTAACCATCTGTAATCTCAAGGGAAATGGATACTCTTCAAAAATTGTTTCCAATGTTACAAAATTTAAAATCTCAGCTTTTAAAAATGTAACTTTTTAATATAAGTAGTCTTGGATATGAGTTTCGTTATTGTTGTATACTCCTCAAAGTTACTGGTTTGAGAAAGAAACTGGTTATATCTTTTTATTAAAGAAATCTTATTTTGGGTCTCTAGATAAATCATTACTTGAAAAAAGAATTTGAAAAAGATGAGAAGCCACGTGACAAGTCATATCAGAATGCAGTTTTAGAAGATATTTTTAAGAAGAATGACCATGATGGTGATGGCTTCATTTCTCCCAAAGAATACAATGTATACCAGCATGATGAACTATAGCATATTTTTATTTCTACATTTTTTAGCTACTTACTGTACTTTAATACATTATACAGTCATTTTTCTCCAGGTTGTATTTCTATTTTTCTCCTGTGAGATATTTTGTTCCCTTCAATACATGTCATTTTGTTTAATAAATGTGATGCTGTTTTGCAAATTTATCTTTTAGGAAAGGTATAATTGTGTTTCCTATTGCTTTATTCTGTGAACACAAATTGCAATGCCCTGAAATGGACCTGTAACTGAGTGGGCAATATTTTCCCATCCAAGGTATAAGAGAACACATGTCAAAATCTGCAAGCTCTTCCCAACTCTAACCTAACCTGAACAATATGTATAAATATGTAAAGGTTCAATATTTCAGATATTAAAATGTTTCATATTTTTAAAATATGAAGTAGGGACTCAGGAACTAGTATATCATCTTTTTATGTATTTCATAACATTATTGAAAGAATTGTGGTCCTTGGCATGCATGAAGGAAGATTTTAGTTGTATATCTCTGTCCCACAAAAAACTTTTTTGGTGCAAGCTTCTAGCCTTGCATGTTTGTTCCAGTTGGGAATGCTAAGAGGTAGATATTTGACCATGATAAAGACTTTTTGCCTCTTAAAAAAGGCATAAAGTCAATACATCTTAGTAAATGTGCTACTGTCTTCCCTCTTGTGGACTTTTATATCTACCACCCCTAACTTTTTGTCTTCATAGTTTTCAATGGATGCCATGGAGTTTCTTAGTTACCAGTATCCTTTCTCTAGAACTTTTCTCATGTCATTTCATTTTACAACATTCTCATCATTAATGTGAATGATGATTATGAACTGGCATGCTGTCAAATTTTGATAACTATAAAACTTCTATTTTTACTCCAAATGAGGATATACAGAGCTGGGTCAATTTGTGTCATGGTCAAATCATGATAGTGGGTCTACTATATGTTTTAAATATGAAGTGTCTCCCAAAATCTCATGCTTGAAACAATTTGAGAATTTTCAGATGTGAAATGATGAAATTATAAGATCGATAACTTAATCAGTGGGGTAACCTGCTGATAAGGATTAAGTGGGTGATAACTTTAAATAGATTGAATGTGGATGAAAGAGGTGGGTCACTGAGGGTATGCCTTTTGGGTTTTTGTCACTAGTGAGCAGAGCTCTGCTTCCTGGTAGCCACGTCCTGAGCTGCTTTCCTCTTCTACCTTAGTTCTGCCTTACCTCAAGCCCAGATCAATGGAGCTGTCTGTGTATGGACTTAGACCTCTGAAATCACGAGCACCAAATAACTTTTTCTTCCTCTAAAATTTTTCCCATCAGCTCTTTTGGTCACTGTGATGAAAAAGTTGACTTAGAACATCTACCTTGTTGAGAGTAATATGTAAGAGATGCTGTAAAAGATCACTGGGCCAAAGAAAGGGCACATATTTATTAAAGCATGTAAAATTTTGCATACTACATAACATACATATATGGAGAAGTATGGTCAGGCAGTGCATAGCTCTGCTCAAAATAAGTGAGTTTGAACCTTTTTCTATTTTCTGAAATTTGCTCTTTCTAAACCATTGCTTACCTTTTAATTTAATTAGATACAATGCCAGAGATTCTATTTAAAAGTCCAGGGGTAATACAGAAACCACCACATTAATATCATGTATGCGTAGATACTTTACTATCTTCATTCTTTCTGGTATGTTTTTGCTTCTATACTCAATTTTCTAACACTTTTTGGCTTGCTTAATTATAACTCTTTGATCATTTTATTTCCCTCAGAAAAGGGAAGTAAACCAGGAATGGTGGCATGTGCCTGTAATCCAAGCTCTCGGGAGGCTAAGGCAAGAGGATCATCTTGAGCCCACGAGGCCAGACTAAGCAATCAACAACAACAAAAAGACCTTTCAGAACTAAACATATTAAATGTCTGAAACATTTTCAAAGAAGAAACAGACATGTTCTATTTGCCTTAACTTTTAAAATAACAATAGAAACCAGGTATTGTGCCACAGACCTGTAATGCCAGCTACTTAGGGGAGGCTAAGGGAGAAGGATCACAAGTTGAAGGCCAGCCTGGACAATTTAGGGAAAACCTTTCTCAAAATAAAAAAATAGGCATAGTTCAGTGGTTTAATCCCAAGAACCACAAAAGATTTTTTAAAAAGATTAAAAGGAGTTTATGAAGCCAAAAAAAATTAAGCAAGTTTTATGAAGACAAAATTAGCATATGTACGTCACAGAATGGCAACCTATTACTACTTTCAGTCACACTGTTAACCAAGTACACAAAACCCCATGCGGAGCTCAGTGTTTTTAATTTGATACTGCAATTAAACATTTAGAATTATATTAAATTATTAACACATTTTTCTCCTTTTACCAGACCTAGAGCACTAAAGGACCATAAAGTAGCCATAGGTGCATTCTTGTCATCCTTAAATGTTGAATTAAAATTTGACTGAAAATAAAATTGATATTTAGAAAAATCTCTTAATTATATAAAATATTATCATAGACTAAATCCCAAAAATGATTCTAAATTAACTGGCAAAATTATGAAGGAATGACTATCTTCTGAATTTTAGGTTTGAATTTTTTTACATACACAATGTTGTTAATCATGACAAGTTATAAATGGTATCCACTTTATGTGTTAGGAAAGTGACATCCACATAGGTTTTCCAGCTCTTCTCTCGGTTTAACTTACCATCAAAGCAAACTAGAGAAGGCTTATGGCACAATTGCACTTAAGACACCAATGAGGCATATTCTGGTTTTTTCTTTTTATTTCATTCTCTTGTGCCAAATATCAAAACAAGGGACTGCGTGAAGTCTCACATACTTCTGTCCATCTACAGAACACTGAAAGCAACCATAGACTGTCTCCCTTTTGAAGTTCCCCATTCCACAGAGTATGCAAGGCCCTTTAGGAATGTTGTGATTAAGTAAGTTAACTCGGATATGAGTCCCTTCCTTGAGTGAAACATCAGTCATGCTGAAAGGTTTGTCATAGTAGTCAGAAAACAGATCATCCAAGTAAAGCTGTGAACGAGAAATGGCATCCATCACTCTTCTATCTAAAAGGACAAAAACAGAAATGTATTAGAAGTTAAAACAGAAAACAAACAGCCCAAACTGCATTTATAAATATATGACTCTCAACTATCAGTCATGAAATGATTTGGCTTTTACATTGAAATCTTCCCTTAATACATGGCATTATTGGATATTAATCCAGGAAGGAAAAATTCATTTGAAATACTCTTCAAGAGACATACTTCTTTCAAATAGTATATTTCTCAGTCTGTAGAGCAGTGCAAACGTTGCTGTTTCTTCCCTTTCAAATCCTCCTTTTGACACTGAAGTGACACAAAGGTCTACAAAACAATTTTGAGAAGATGTTATAACTTGAACAACTCATATGCTATGGGGTATTTTATAAGGCAATGAATTCTAGTAATTCATTCCACTTTTTTAAAGCTAAATTCATACATTTTTGGAAAAAGTTCATTCATATGGTACAAAATTCAAATCACATAAAAAGGGTATGCAGTGATAAGTCTCTAGCCCAACCACACCCAGCCAGTCTTCCACCTTAGAGGCAATGTTAAGTGTCTCTGTATGCTTCCAGAAATACTCCATATAGTTTACATAAAAGAATATATATGTATGTGTATGTGTATAAAATTAGGACCAAATAGTTACATACTAGATACATTTCTTTAAAATATGTCTTAGATATTGGGCTCAGTGGTAAATGCCTGCAATCCCAGCAGTTCAGGAGGCTGAGACAGGAGGATCACAAGTTTGAGGCCAGCCTCAGCAACTTAGAAAGGCCCTAAGCCATCTCAAAATAAAATACAAAAAGGGCTAGGGATATAGATCAGTGGTAAAACACCCTGGGTTAAATTTCCAGTACCGAAAAAAAATAAAAATACAATAAAATATGTCTTAGAGATTATTCCATGTCAGGGTCTATAGAGACCTTGCCCTTAACAGCTTCCTATTATCCTGATTTATGGATGTTCCCTTAAGGTTGTTTTCAATCTTTTGTATTAGGAACAGACTATCCTTATACCCAAACTATTTCACATGTGTGTAAGTACACCTGTAGGATAAATTCCTGGAAGTGCAAGGACAAACATACTTTCATTTAAGAATTAGAAGGATACCATTGTGTCTTCTTCCCATACATCAATATAACTGTAAAAATCTACACTTAGCAGGTTCCAAATAGAATTTACTCAGAACGTAGTTTTGTTTCTAGGCTTCCTATTCTCTCCTCCCACAGAATTGTAGAAAAAGAACAAAAACAGATCTAAAAATGTTTATAAATTATCATGGCTAGGGGGCTCTCTTCCTGGTCCTTTGGGCTATATATATACCTGGACTTGGGCTGGCTGGCGGCCAACCAAGCTTAAAGACCTGTGAAATGTAGAAGCGACAGTGAGCTACACAGAGCTATCACAAAAGAGGGCAATTCTAAAGGAAGTATCTATACTTCTAGTTATGTTTTTAGGGGAGTACAGGGGCAGTTGTATCTAATATAGGTAAAACTGAAGTATGGTGCCCTGACACTACAGGCCTCTTTTTACTACTCCTATTTACCACTATCAAAAACTACCTATCAGAAGGTCACTGATTATCTCCCTATGACTGACAGTGCTGAAAGCAGGCATCACTTTTCTATGATTATCAGAGAAAGGAGGTGGGAGAGGGAAAGGGAAAGAGAGGCTTTCCCACTAAATTCTCCTTAAAAAAAAAATCACTGTTTGAAGCAGATTCTCTACTCACCAAAGGCACCATCCAAGTAAATGAAGAGTTCAAAAACACTGAACGCTATGGTTGTATGTGCTGGAAAAACAATAGCTTTGTCCCTTCCCTTGGGATTCTGTTCATCCATAAAATGAAACTATATTAAATAAATACAAAATAAAATAACATTATTAAGGATGCTAACACATCAGGATAGATTTTTTTGAGAAGCAAATCGTCTTTTACAATTCTACTAAAACAAAAAACAAAACCTCTTCAAGTAAAGAATTACCCTGCTTGAATTAGACTGTCATAGCAGAGATCCAAGTGATCCAGCAGGAACTGGTAATCTGAATCGGAAAAGACTTCTAGACTATTTTGCTTACTTTGGTACTGAAGCCAATGATTAGGGCCAACCCAACAGTAATGCTCTCTGCAATAGAAGTTTTTTTTTTTCTTAAAACTTCAAATCTTACAAAATAACTGTGTTGAGGTATTTTTGGCCTAATCTGTCTACTGTTTCAAATCCTCCAGAGTTTTTCTGCAACTTTCCAAAAGCATTACCCATATTCCAATGCTTCAGTCTGTGCCCCTCAAATCATCCAATGTTAATCAGAATTCAGTGGACAGCTGAATGTCATACTGAACAGACCTTTACTTGTAAAGACTTGAAAAAGATTATCATTTAACTCTTACCTTTCTAACAACTGGCTTTAATCCTATCAAGGCATTATTAGGTGTCACTACATGACAAAGATAAAGAATATCATAACTGAGATCAAATTTAAACTCACATGGGCCAGGGTTGTGGCTCAGTGGTAGAGTGCTTGCTTAGCCAGTGTGAGACATATAAATTCTCAGCACCCACATATAAATAAATAAAATAAAGGTACACTGACAACTAAAAACATTTTTAAAAAATTTAAACCCACATAATTTTCTAATTTTTTAAAGGATTTAAAATTGAATGAAGCATGCTTTGACCATTGATAATATTAATTTAGAAAAACTATTTTAATATAAAATATAAATTCAATGTTTAAAAATCCAAGTATGAACTATATAACTTAAAAGTAAAATCAGGCCAGGCATAACAGCACACATCTATAAATCCCAGCTACTCAGGAGGCTGAGGCAGGAGAAGCCCAAGTCTGGGCCCGCCTTGGAAATTTAGCAAGACTCCATCTCAAAATAAAAAATAAAATGAGCAGGTAGTATAGCTAAGCAATAAAGTACTTGCCTAGGATGTGTGAGGCCCTGGGTTAAATCTCAGTACCTCAAAAATAAAATAGTGCAACTTCAGCACTTAGTTTGTTTTCTTAAAGTAGAACTTAAATAGCAATGACAGAAATGCTGGCATGCAAATTATTCAACAAGAATTAGTGCTTTATCTGCATCATATTACACATGTTTAGAATCTATGTTTTCTTGGATTTTTTTTTCATGTTCTTAAACACGGTCATTACTGTGCAAAATCCTAAACCACTGCAGCTCTTTCATCTCAACATTTGATGTAATATCTAAGTTTCATTCTCACTGAGTGCTTTTTTAAAACTTCCCACAGCAACTCTGTAGCCAGTAAGCAAAGCCTAATGCTTCTGTCTTACCCGCATGGCTTCTCCTCGAATGCCTGCATGAACAGACAGGGAGCACTGTCGTGTGGTTCGAATGCTTTCCATGACCACGCAAAGCACAGCCTTTCTGCTGCTCCGTGACTGACGTATCAAGCTGTGATCGAAGTTAATTTTCCTAAAATAAAAAGAAGACAGTCATAAGATTCTTCAACGTCAAATTATATATAATCCGGCACATTTTTTTCCTATCATGTGTTACTCATTCATAGTCCATCTTAACGAAATGTAAAAAAGGCAGACCTAATATAAACCAGAAAATACACCCAAAAGAATGTGAATACCCTGGCTCTTCCTTCTAATTTCTTAAAACAGGCTCATGTAAAGTGTTTTATTCTCTCTATTGAGTCTATTGGAGGGGGCTCTCTACATTTGTTGCAGACAAAGAGTCTTTTTTTTTTTTTTTAGTGTAGTAATTTAGCAAATTTGTGTAGGGGCTTAGTGATTTTGTGGAACACTAGAAAATCTTCTTCAAACCAAATGATTCTTGGGTATCTACCCTGACCCAAAGTTCGGTATACTGTGATGGCAAAACCAGACCTGGTTGTAAAATGAAATAACCAAAAAAAAAAAAAGGTTTGGGTAAGAAACCAATGCTTGGGGAAAGTTCCCCTCAGCCATTCTTTAGGAAGCCTAATTAACCAACGGGTCCCTACCTTTTGGATTACTGTAAATAACTGCCCTAGGAGTTTAACTTCTCCCTCTTGAAATATAAACATCCCTGTGCTATGCTTTTAAGGCTAGAGATTTAACACATGCCTGTGAAAAGAGCCCTTTATCCTTATCTGTTTCCATAACCATGCTTACACAAGGCCTTCAGCCCTGTAGAATAGGAGTTTTTTTTTTTCTTAAAGAAGAAAAAAAGCCCCCAATGATAGGATGAGTGTAAAATGATGCCAAATAACCTATAAAAATTGTTAGAAACTGTGAATGAGTGCTCAGAATTAGAGTTTGTTCCCCTCTGGGCCCACCAGCATAAAATAATGTTTGGAGTTCTCCTCTCTGAGTGCTGCTTGCTGCTCCCCAACCTGTCTGTTTCCTGCAACAATACTACTAATTTGTAATATTTCAAAAAAAAAAAATCACACAAATAAATTACATTAGTAAAATTAAGCATTCTTTACAAGGAAGTTTATATATATTAAAACTTTTAATTAATCCACTGACATGCATTTGGATTATTATACTGACCGTGTAGTAATTTCTTTGAGTAATGTTGATACTTCCACTTCATGTTTGGTTACTACACCAAATGAAGCTTTTACTGCAATGGAATCTGATCCAGTAACATTAATCCCAACGTCATTTACAATATGGTTGCCTCGCCTTCCATAAAGTGAAACATCTGATTCATCTTCATAATTCAGTAATTGATAAGATGAAATACCTTTATGAAAAGAAACTAGTATTTTTAAATGTCTCCAATTCAGCTTATATAGATTATATAAAGTAACATGTTAATTTGCAATTCAAGATCCAATCTCATTAAAAAAAGCAACATTTCAGGCCAAAATTAAAATAGCTGTTCAATTTTACAATAACAAAAAACAAATAGCCAAATATTTCAAATGAAATCAAATTATCTGTTCAGTCAACAAAATTTCTTAAATATCAAGATGTACTAGGGTATTGAAATATAAACAGGTGTTTAGAAGCAGTAACTTATCAAAATGTCAATTAACTTTTTAATCAAGCTTTAAAAACACATTTAAAAACACATTTAATCAAGCTTTAAAAACACATTTCAGTTTACCAAGTGTAATAACTGAATTGTAAACAAAATTCAAATTATTTTTATCTCATTTGATTATGTAAGAGATAAGATCAAATAATACACTAATTTACAGAGGAAAAAATACTATGTCTTTTTCTAAGTTGATTTTGATTAAAACAACTTATAAAATAATTAATAGACTTTAAAAGTATTCAATAAGAGATTTGATATTATATAAACTTTAGACATTGTTCATCTCAAAAATATCATTACTTTCATTATAATAGTTGCTTTTTTTCATTGAAAATATGTATTACTAGTATAAATAGTACATAGGACCTCTGTTTAGGTTACTAATAACAGTTCCATGAGTAGTCACTCCCAAACATTTACACTTACCAGCTGAAATTTCTCTGTCTCCTAGGAGAATATCTTTCAGTGTAAAAGGTGTTGAGGTAAATTTATATCTAGGAAACAGAAAGCATCGCTTCTTTTTTACCACCAGACTGAGAGGTTGGTATTTGTCAGCTTCACTGAGGCTTGGAACTGGAACTAATCTCCCTCCATCTCCAACTTGCTTGACAAAGCTCTTTGTAGCAGCAGCAAACATATTAATATCAAAATGTCATCAACTGCAACCCCCAGGTAACAAAATCCATTTTCAAACAAGAAAACCAGGCACAAAACTAAGCTTGCTTGATCTTAATACAATTATACATGTTAAAAATACAAAGCATGCTTTCACCAAGTAGTTTACCCGTGTACACCTCACAACATTGCCAGTCTTCATGTGCTCAAGTAATAAATAATAGATCAACGGTGTAAAATGATATACTAAAAGCAAGTCTAATTTGGAATGGCAATTTATAGCACTAAAATATACACAGAAAATGAATTCCAACATACCACTGACATCTTTGATGAGAATCACAGTTGATAGTGATTTTCTAGTAGCAATGGGCCGATTCTGAGGGAAGCAGATAGCCCCATGGGAAACACTGCAATTTAGGCACTAACATTAGTCCTGGATACTATGTATAATGGACCTAGTCCAAAGGGAATTCCTTCACAAGTTCACTAGGCAAATTTTGGCCACAGAATAGTGAAACTTTATGGTATAGAGTTAATGCAGGAACATTTTCACAAAAACCAAGTGTGTAATATTAAATACAAATACACAGAATATAGGGAAACAAATGCCTGCAGATCTTTACAAAATACTAAATTAAAGCCATTTTACACATTTAGAAAACTATAAAATATTATGCAATGTTTTCTTACTCAGAAGCTACGCACTCAGTCCATATAAACTGAAATGGAGTCATGCTGCACTTATTTTGTTTTTATTTCATCATTATTATCCTACTCAATCTATAAAGAGATCTATAAAAGGTTTTCACTTCTTTTTTTCTTTTTTATTTATTTATGTATTTGTTTTAGTTACAAGACAGTACGCTGATCTTGACATACCATACATGTCAGATGGGATATAATTTCTCATTTTTCTGAGTGTACAGGTTGCAGAATTACATTAGTCATGCAGTCACGTATATACTCATGGCAATAATAATGTCTATTTTATTCTGCTGTCCTTCCATTCCCCCTTTCCCCTCCCCTCCACTTTCACTTGTTTTTAAGAAACATTTTAGCTAAAAATACATTTCCAAAGCAAATCTATACTAACTTTTTAATGAACGTTCAAGCAGTGTTTCTGTGGTCCTTAAAGATGTTCACTGAAACTTAATACAGTTGGGTATTTAGTTGATATACATACATACATGTGTGGTGTAGAGGAAGAGAGACTAGGCTTAATTCAAACCTCAAATAATGGAAATTAATTTGATTAGATTCTTGGTATTTTTTTTTTCCACTTGCTTTTCAGTGTTCAGGGGTCAATGCAACCCAAAATGTACTTTTAGTAACAAACGTCCTTTCTGGGGGCTGGGGCTGTAGCTCAGTGGCAAAGCACTTGCCCAGCATGTGTGATATTACATAAAGATATAAAGGCATGCTGTTCATCCAAAACTAGGGGAAAAAAATTTAAAATAATAATGTCCTTTGTGAAAACAGTATTGTGCAAAATCATCTTCCAGAAGCACTAGGTTCAACCCTTAGCACCACATAAAGAAATAAAAGACACGTTGTCCATATACAACTATAAAATTTTTTAAAAAATAATAATGTCCATTGTGAAAACATCATTGTGCAAAATCATCTTCCAGAACACCTTGTAAGCACAGGGAACCATTTCTGCACGTGGAAAGCAAACACTTAGAGAGACGACACAACTAATGTCGCAGTTTGATCCCCACAAAAGGTAGCGCATCCACCAACGCCATTACAACCAACAAAACTGGAACCTGGCCTACAGAAAGGCCTTCCTTTACACCTAACAAGCCTTGCCGGGCTCTGCTGACCCGGTGTCCAACTTGCCTCCAAGACAAAGGAGCCCGCCCAGCAGGAGAGAAGGGTCTCCAGAAGCCCCAGAGGACGCAGAAGCTGGAAAAGGCTGCTCAGCTTTCAGGAGCTCTCAGGAGCCGATAAATCAAGGGTCTCAAGTTCATCGCCAAGTTCTGACAGGTTCCCTAGCAATTTTGCATTAGCATTTTCAAATCTTTCTTAAAGTGAACCTGTCCCCAGATTGTCCTCCCCACCCCTCAAACACGCTGGACTTCTGGCCTCGCTAACCCTGAGCCCACAGGAATAAGCATTCTTTCCGGGTGGCAAACCACCTCCTAAGGCCCCAAAACTCAAGCTTCAGGCGCAGTGACAGTGGCAAACAAATGACCGACCAGGATGCCGCGGGAGCTTAAGTGGAGCGCAGGCGGGGACTGGGAAAAGCTGGGGTATGACAGAGGGGGCGGGGCCTGGAGAGGGGAGGGGCCAGCACCTTGAAGTCTCGGGAGCCGAAGGGGGTGCAGGCCAAGCTGGGAAGAGCCGGCGCTGGGAAGAGACGGAGCCGGGAGAGGGGCGGGGCCTGGCTAGTAGCAGAGCCTGAGGTCCGGCAGCGAGGGGGTGTGGCCGGCGCCGTCACGCCGAGTCCCCGCCCTTCCTCCCTTCACCCCGCCCCGCCAGTTCCTTTCGCAAGAGGGACGCCTGCAGCAAGAAGACGGGGAGGCTGTGGTGCTGGAGAGCTCCGCTCGGGGACCGGCCGACGCGGGAAGCGAGGACGCCGTCTGCACCGCTCTTTCTCGCGCCGCCTAGCCGTCCCTTCTTGCCATGTCTCAAAGCAGACGTCGCGCGGAGGCCCCGCCACTGGAGCGCGAGGACAGCGGGACCTTCAGGTTCGAGCCCAGGCAGTAGGGGCCGCAGGGCCGAGAGTGGTGGGCAGCAGAGGAGGGGGCGGGGAGCCGGCCCCGGCGGCATTCTGGGTAAAGCCCCTTCCTGTCGCCCCCCCCACAACACACACACACTGTGGTGCTGTGCCCCGCCCTCTTGGCGGCGACTGGCAGGGGTCTATGGCCCGGCCGCCGGGGTCTGTGGCCGCGCCCCGCCCCTTTTGTGGCTCGTGGCGGCGCGCTGGGGGGACGGGGTGGCAAAAGGTGCCACGCGCGGACCGGGTTGGTGGACTTGGTCTTGAGAGTATGCAGCCGTGTGCCCCTGAGAACACCTTTCTGTCCGCATTCGAATTCTGTCTATAAAGACGTCCCTCCTTCAACTTGCTAGCCCCTGCTGGGTGACTGCCGCAGCAGAGCTGGGAGACAGGTGCGCACAGGCCTTGCCAGCTTTGGTCCTGGCAGCCAGGAAGCTACAGTAATTCCCCGGTCACCATTGATAGCAGTCAAAATTGGCCCTGTGTATGCTTCTGCTTCCCTGTTTGCTTTGACATGCAAAGCACACCTTTTTCTGATTTTTGCAGTTTGGGGAAGATGATAACAGCTAAGCCAGGGAAAACACCGATTCAGGTATTACACGAATATGGCATGAAGACCAAGAACATCCCGGTTTATGAATGTGAAAGATCCGATGTGCAGATACACGTGCCAACTTTCACCTTCAGAGTAACCGTTGGGGACATAACCTGCACAGGTCTGTATGCACAGTTAACCCCTTGACCCTGCTGGTTGGTAGTCCAGACTTGATGTTGCTTTTCAATTGGGAAAAGTGCCCCTTTTGCCAGAGACAGCTATGAGGGGCAGGTTTTAAAACGGAGACCTCATATATTAGGTTGTTAAGAGCTTTTCAACTTCATCTGATTCTAATTTTCTCTTCTCCAGATACAAGGATGCTCAGATAATAAAAAGTTATCCAGGCATCCTACAAGGCTCTTCACACACTATAGGATCCTCCCAAGGTTCCTCCAAGAATTAAAAAGAAACCGGAAGGGTTCTTGGAGCCCTCATAGCTGGGTCAGTAGGTACTATCAAGTTTCATAGTTTTATAAATTATAGCAGATACAGGGAGGCATGACCCCGGAGTTGTCTGAGTTTCCCTTCTGTCTTTATAGAATTATTTGGAACTTTGGATCTCTTGTATCACTCTTAATTATGTCCACAAAAAAAAAAAAAAAAAAAGGCAAAACAATGAGGAATGTAGAAAGACTCTCATTCATTGTATTACTTAGTAGCTTCTAGTTCCTGAAACTGTACAAGTATTTTGTATAAGATAGTATCTCCTTTTTATACATGAAGAAACAGGTTCAGAGAGATTATAAATAACATGCTCTGAGTCACACAGCAGTGAAGTTTCAAAATTCAGATGCATGCCCATTTGTAAATATGGACATTATTTTTCTCATATACCTATTTAATTGCAAACAAAAAAAATACTAAATTTAATTTGGAAAAATGCCAAGAAAAGTATTAGTAGGAAGACTAAAATTATATCATCTGATAGTCTGAAGACATCATTTGTATGTGTCCCTGGAAATTTGGACTCCTATTTTCATCGAAGCTACTTTAACAAAAATATGAAGCTTTTTTTTCTATGTGAGACAGGTGGATAAGAAGTGTGGCTGCAATGTTCCTTGTATGAGCCATAGTGTCAACATTGCATTATTATTTAAGTTGTTCTATTTTTAAATATCCAGTGGAAGTTTAAAAAGAAGTAGTCCCTCCCACCCGAATGTGCTTTAGGCCAGGGAATGATTACTTGTTTCTAGGGCTGGATTTGTGGAAGAGCACTTGCTTGCCTGGCCTGTGTGAGGCACTAGGTTCAATCCTCAGCATCACATAAAAAATTAAATAAAATAAAGATATGTGTCCATCAACAACTGAAAAATATTAAAACAAAACAAAACACCTGTTTCTATTATTATCCCTTGGACCTCTTCTCCCACTACCCTGTCTTCCTGTGCTAGCTAATCTGTCTCCATGGCTTCAAATACCAGATAAAGGCTAATAATAAATATCTTTCCTCCAGTCCCATTTGCAGAACAGTGTATCAACTTGTGTGCTTGCTAGGGAACTTTGTTTGGATGATACAAAGGCCTCTCAGACTCATTGTCTCAAACTGAATGTATCTTTCCCCTTAAGCCCATTTTTTTGCACTCCTTTTCTCTGAAAAGGCAGCATAGTCACACAATCACTCAGTAGAAATTCAGGATTTGTATTCTTTTTTTTTTTATTTTAGTTGTAGATAGACACAATATCTTTATTTGTTTATTTATTTTTATGTGGTGCTGAGGATCGAACCCAGGGCCTCACATCTGCAAGGCAAGCGTTCTACCACTGAGCTACAGCCCCAGCCCCAGGGTTTGTATTCTTGATATCTTTTACTCCTCTCCTCTCTTATCCAGTATGTTATTAAAATCTCTCTACTAAATAGCTATTGAGTCTCTTTCTCTCTTCTTTCTATTGCTACCATCCAGACCACTGTCATCTCTTTTTTTGGATTATAGCTTCTGTGTTATAACTGCTCTTTTTTTCTTTTTAAAATTTTTGATAGACTTTTTTTTTTAGCTTTGTTTTATTTACTTTTATGTAATACTGAGGAGTGAACCCAGTGCTCACATGTGCTAGACAAGCATTCCATCACTGAGCCACAAACCTAGCCCTTCTTTTATCTTCTTCCTGTGTAATGCCCATTCTCTACGAATGTTCTTTTCCTAGTACTCAAATTTGTCCTCCTTCTCTTAACATCCATTGAGTGGTTTCCCCATCACCTTCTGGATAAATATAAAAATTTTAATGTGACTTCTTACCTTCTTGAGATGTAGTCAACAGCATGATTGATATCATTTGGGTACTTGATGGAAATGCAGAATATAAGGCACATCCCAGATGTATGGGGTCAGAGTATGTTTTAACAAAATTCCTTGTCAATTATTATACATGTTAAGGTTTGAATAGCACAAGTATATATAATATCTGTATAATATGTGTATGTTTATGGTTATGTATATAAAACTCATTCCCCAGCCCCCAAGTTCTCCAGCCTTTTATCTCAAAATTGCTCCCCTTGAGCTCTTACACATTAGCCATATGCAACACTTACGGCCTTGAGAACACTGCTTTCTTTTGCCTTTGAGCCTTTGCAGGTGCCTTTCCTCTACCAAGAATGCTCTTCCTAATCTCCTAGTTCTCTCTCCTTTACTAGACTTTCCTCATCTTTCAAGTGTGCATTTAGTTCTCTTTCTCCATAAAACTGTTCTGAATCAAGAAGAACAATGGTACTGCTACTTTTGTGTGCTTTCCTAGAGCTCACTCTTAGGCTTGGTGTAACATGATTCAGAAACCTATTAGCAGACAAAATCCCACACTAGGCTGTCAGCCATAGAGGTCAGGGAATCTCTTCAGTTCTGTGCTATGTCCCTAATGTCTATGTTATTAGATAAAAGAGTATGGTTTTTGTGTCCTCTGACATTAGAGGGTCACACTTCAATCTTATTTCCTAACATTGAGGGTTTGAACTCAGAAGGAAAAAAATGATTGAATTCACTCTTTACCAGATGCAACTGCTTGCTGAATTCAAATATCAGTCTTATCCCTAACCTCCCTTACCTACAAGGCAAAAGATACAGATTGTGTAGAAGACATAAGGCATAAGCTGTCACCTATTACTGCTTAGCCTAGCATAGGGGTTTGATCCAGAATAGGACCAGGCTGTCAGAATAAAACTGTGCACATTTCACTGTCCAAAAGTTCTGTAGGTTTCTTCTGTAAAGGAAATTTCTTGATTCAGAAGAACTTCCTGCCCAGGAATAAGGGAAGAGTGAAATGCTAAGTTGCGTTTCTTCTGGAGGTGTGACATGGTCTACATCATTACCATTTGTGTAATAAATATATAGTATAGAAAGAGTAAAGTTTTTTACATAGGGATGCATAGATTTAAATACATAGAACTTTTTAGATTGTGATTTTGTTCATGTATCAGTTTCACACAGTGAATAGTTTATTTCAGTGTATAATTGCATGTATTGTATGTTTTCAGTACTAACTGCATATATGAAAAACCTGTAGTGACTTTGATTTGTAGTATGACAACATCTCTGTAAGGCACACATTTTCACAAAGACTATCTTTTTACATTTTAATTCAGGTGAAGGTACAAGTAAGAAGCTGGCGAAACACCGAGCTGCAGAGGCGGCCATCCACATTCTGAAAGCCAATGCAAGTATTTGGTGAGCTAAATTTCTTTGTATTCTGCAGCTCAAAATGATCATGGCTGAGGTAAGATTAAAAATGTGAACATGCTCCCCAAAGCAGCGGAGTGAACAGTATCTGAGCTCTAAAATTCTATTTCTTTGTGAAAACCTATCACCCATGAAGATAGTTCTATCCAATTAAGCCCAGCAGTTACCAATTAACTGCAGCCTCTCATGAATTAGGCTTTACTTTGTTGTTTTTTAGATGGCGTGCTGCAGTCGGAAACCATAATATCTCTGGCAACTGTTAATATTCTGTATTAAGACTTTGATTATTTCTACACTGAAGAAAAACAAGGTGTGAGATGGAAATAAAAATATTCCTTAGGGAATTCTCATTGGAAAGAAGGAGGTAGAGATTTCCTTTTATTATAGACTGTATACCAAATTCAAGAGAATGTGAATTGGGATATCCTTGCCATGTTTTTCCAAATTGAATTTTTTTTTTTCTGTTTTAGGTGAATCTTAAAGCATCTCATGTATAATAAAATATTATCATTTGGTTTCTGTTAGGCACACCATGGAACATAGTATACCTTAAATTCTTCTTACACATGAACTCAGAAATGCTAGAAGTGCAAGCTGGATGTGGTGGCTCACGCCTATAATCCCAGCAACTTGGTGGTTGAGGCAAGAGGATTGCAAGTTCAAGGCTAGCCTCAGCAACTTAGCGAGGCTCTAAGAAACTTAGTAAGACAAGACCCTGTTTCAAAATAAAAAGGGTTGGGGATATGGCTCAATGGTTAAGCACCCCTAGGTTTAAACCCTGGTACCAAAATATAAAAAAAAAGAAGTTTTTTTAAATTTTTTTATATTTTGGTAATTAGTAATTAGTGTGATACACTAATTACTAGTAATCTTTCATTGATTTACATTTCTTTTTGATTTGTAGCCCCTGATTCTACATGTGTTTTCTTCCTCTGAATTACAAAACTCAGCTTAAAACAGAAACATCTGGTCTTTGACATAAACTGTCCCAAATTGCAAAATATACACAAATATTTAGTACATAAAAATGATTTAGGCAACAGTAAATAGTTCTTCTGGGTAATAACTTTGTCCACTCAATTTGCTACCCAGTGATAATAGTTATCTGTATGTCAACAATCTAAATAGATTCTTATGAATTTTTGGTAGATGGATAATATTCAATAATTATTTAAAGAATTCTGAAAGTATAGTTTCAATTTGTCCCTGGGTTCAGCCCCAAGTACCCAAAAATAAAGAAGATGCTTAGAGTTTAGTCTGGTATAATCTGCACATAACTAACTGCAAAGATCTGTGGAACTTGAAATCGGATTTTTTTTTCCTAAAGCCATAGCAAGTGTTTAGGATTAAGTCTGTATTTAGGTTCTCATGCAATACTCTTCCCTTTTCCTAGGTCATTCTAAACTTTTTGGGTAATTTAGAACTAACCAGTGACATAGCAACCCTCTAGACAAGCACTTAACCCAGACAAGCCTTGGATCTCACAAGATGATACTTGCTTCTCTGGGATCATACCTTACAATTGATTTATGCTAGCTTTCAAGACATGCCAAATGGCATAGCAGATTTTAAGTTCTGCCTCCACTGATAATGGCTGTGCTATTTCTGTGCAGCCCAAAGGTCAACCCAACATGTTGAGCACATTGGTAGAAATGAGTGTACGGAGTGTCCTTTCTGCATATAGGAACTTCACTTTGTCAGCAAAAAAGGCTAACAAACTTTACTATATATTTGTGCTTCTTGACAGATAAAATGGGAATTACTAAGCTGTAATCAGGCCTAAAGTGGCCTGATTTAATACAGAGACTTTTTCACTTCTCGATCACAATTATTTGGGTAGCTTCGGCATGCAGCATTGTAAGTGAATACTTATATCTAATCAGCCTACGTAAAGCTTGAAATTCTGGCATTTGGTAAAGAAACTTGAGGAAGTGCAATAGTTAAACCTCACTTGTCATGGAAGAAATGATTCTTCTATTGCTTAGGTGGAAGTAACCTTGGAATTCAGCTTCTTCTGCATTAGGCTTGATCTTCTGAGTAACTAGTAATTTCAAACTGCCTAGAAAAGATTGTTCTTTTTCCTTAATCATAATCTCTACATTGTTAAACCAGATTTATGTAGACCATCTATTTTATGCAGGATATATAGAACTCTTAACAGGATTATCTTAGCACTGAGCACATGATGGAATAATAGGTCTCTCTTCCACAATTATATTGATGATCTGTGTTATCCATAGTGCCAGGCTAAATTTCCTGGCCAATACTCTTATTATGTCTTGTGTAGTCATAATAGTGTACTTTGAATATATTTTTATCAAGCACCTATTATGTATAAAGCACTATGAAGCTTATGTAGGTAAATAATGCACCCTACCATCAAGGAGTTTACAATCTGAATTGGGAGAGGTTTGGTAAGGGTCAGACAAATTACTTGTATTTCTAAGGCTGTATAATTTAGGTCAGTTTTCTTAAGAAAGAGTCAAACCAAGCTTGGCATAGTGGTGACACCTGTAATTCCAGTGACTTGAGACGCTGAGGCAGGAGTCTTAAGTTTAAGGCCAGCCCAAACAACTTAGTAAGACCCATCTCAAAAAGAGAGAAAGGGATGTATCCCATTGATAGAATGTCCCTAGGTTTGATCCTCAGTACTTAAAAAAATAAAGAATAAAATGTCAAACCAAATGTTATAATGGTTCAAAGGAGTGAGAGAATATGATCCATTGGGTAAAAGGCTAGGCTTCTTAGAGGAAGTGACATTTGATATGTACAGATAGATATAGAGTTCAGATTTCTATAGAAATTGTTGAAAAGAAGCGCATCACATGTAGATATAATGCAAGAACTTCAGGGTAGAGAGTTAAGTAGAAAAATTTTTCTTTTTTAGTAAGTAATTTGGGGAAATTATTTTATTGAATAACATTCAAAAATATGTTTAGCTTTGCAGTTCCTGACCCTTTAATGCCTGACCCTTCCAAGCAACCAAAGAACCAGCTTAATCCTATTGGTTCATTACAGGTAAGTTGTATATTTTTTCCATACTTACCTTTTTGTCTACTGATAAAAGATAAAATTAAGTGGTGGTATTACAGTGCTGAAGATAAGCCATTTTATATTTTCATGATAAGATTGTTAAATATTTTGTTTTCCAACTTATTTTATGCAGCTAACTTAGAATTATTTTCCCGTTTATTTAAGTTGTGGATTTTCTTCCACATGCAGTATTTGCCTTTGGTTTGTGAAATTCTCATTTGAAATAACAGGACCTCATTGCACATGGGTAGAGAATATTATACTTTAAGTACATTTCTTCCCATCTTTATGACAAACCTCTTTCTACTTCTTTTAAGACAGAAGACTTTATAAAGAGCCAAAATTGGGTAACCTAATTCAAGATGCACCCTACCATCAAGGAATTTACAATCTGAATTGGGAGAGGTTAGGTGAGGGTCAGACAAATTACTTGTATTTCTAAGGCTGTATAAGAAAAGAGATGTAATTAATTTATTTGATTATATTTACACACATGCACACGCATATGTTTATCTTTAAATTTCTGCAAACAGAATATTCTTTTTGCAGATTATCCGTGTGCTCTGTTAGAACTATTTTTGTCTCCATTACCTAACCAATCCTTTGGTCTCATTTTTTTTGCTCTGTAAGTTTTTCTATTATTTTCTTCACATGTAACCTCATCCCAGTTTCTGTCTCTGCTCCTCGTGAGCCCCTGATCAAATGCAGCAGATAGCAGCCGCAGGTCCAGAAGCCCATAGTTAGGGGGGGAGAGGCTTTAGGAACCGAGGGCAGGGAGACCTGTAGGTGTCTCCTCTGATGTTCCCAAAGAGGTCACTGGTAGCCAATCTTTCTCTGATATCAGCTCACTATTGCTTAAAAGAAGAATGCCATTCATAGGTCAAAACTGCTTCCATTTTGGTATTGTAATATAAAGATGTAAAAGATGGGAATGTTTATGGGACATATAGGGTCTTTCCTTTTCAAATATATGACTAGAAATGAGATTGAAATCAAGAAGAAATAAAATTTGTGTGATTAAGCCATTGCACAGTTGAAATTACTATTAAAGCCTCATTTCAATTTTATAGGAATTGGCTATTCATCATGGCTGGAGACTTCCTGAATATACTCTTTCCCAGGAAGGAGGACCTGCTCATAAGAGAGAATATACCACAATTTGCAGGCTAGAGTCATTTATGGAAACTGGTACTTTTTCTTACCATTTAAGACATTTGCAATATTTTCAGATGATGGATGACCATAGAAATCTCTGTTGTTATATCTTCTCAAAAATGTCTGTGGGGAGAAAAATTGATAAACTCCTATACTACCATCTCTAACTTTCTAAGGTAGAACTTAAATATAAATATTTGGCCATGCACATCTGTAATCCCAGCAACTCAGAAGGCAGGAGAAATGAGGGTTCAAGGCCATCCTCAGCAACTTAGTGAGGCTCTGTTCCAAAAAATACAGAGGGCTGAAGGGGTAACTCAGGGGTAAAGTAGCCTTGGGTTCAATCCCCAGTACCTCCAATAAAAAAGGAAGAAGAATACTCATGTTTCTTAATTGGATGTTTTTAAAAATCATAAGTTGTTAATGGAAAGATGTATTATTGGCTCCATACCTTAAATAATCTTCATCTATGTATTAGTGATTGAAATAATTCATCTGGGAGGAAAAACAATAGTAAATCTCTTAAAGTTTCAACAGATATTCTAGAAAGTAGGACTAGAGAAGATTACATTTGAAAAAGAGGTGATTAATAAGAGAATAGATGGCCCCAAAAATGAAATAAGATAAAAAATAAATAGAAATTGTCTTTTGGAATTATAGTAACTTCTAAGTTGTAAAAGACATAAACTATGAGGAATAGCAGCCACTTAATTAATTACTAGTGAGAATTCTTCTTTATTACTCTGGCATGTTTTTGTTATTTTCAAAATGACTGAAAGTAGACTTTTACCTTAGCTAGATATTAGTTTCAAGTAACAGGCACTGTCTGCCTTGAGAGGTGATGTGGCCACTGCAGAAGCCACTAGGCCAGAAGCAGTGCCTCTCCTTTGGGTTCCTGAAGTAGTCCTTTATTTTCAAAATGAAGCAAATTACTTCATCTCCCTGGGCTTCAGATTTTTAATTTACAAAGCAGAGTATGAAAGTAGCTATTTAAGGTATCTTTCTTTCAATTCCATCATTTTTTATTCCCTTCTTATTCATATTAAGCAAATTCTACATTTGTTAGTATAGAAGATTGTGAATAGATAATGGACATTGAGAGAGGGATCATAATTCAAATATATTTTGGTAAATAAATTGGTCACAATTAAACCAAATACTGTTCATTAAAGTTAAGCAAAGGGAAGAATAATTATTAAAGAAAAGCAGAAAGTGTAAATATTAAAGAAAAACGGTTAAAGAAAAGATCTATTTTCAAAAATATAAAGAATTAATAGTCATTTGAGGGCTAGGGGTGTAGCTCAGTATTAGAGCACTTGCCTAGCATGCATGAGGCCCTGAGTATAATCCCCAGCACTGAAAAAAAGAGGGGGCGTGTGTGTGTGTGTGTGTGTGTGTGTGTGTGTGTGTGTGTGTGTATTTTACAATGAACAAAAACAATAAACAAAATGTCAAGTGAGTAAGAAAATAGCCTAGAAGATGAAAAACATAATCCCTTGTACATTCAATCATCCTCTGTGGACACTGTTTTCCTTTCTAAATCTACCATCTTTTTTTCTTTATATAGGAAAGGGGGCATCAAAGAAACAAGCCAAGAGAAATGCTGCTGAGAAATTTCTTGCCAAATTTAGTAATATTTCTCCAGAGAACCACATTTCTCTAGTGAGTATTAAGCAAACAGTTAAGATGTTAATTTGATTAAGATTTTCTTGCTTTAGGAAGATTTCCTTGATTTCTTGTTGGATTGATACTTCAATTGTTGCAATTTTTAAAAATCTTTTCATCTTTCATTTGCACACCATGCCAATTTTAGCTGCTTTCTATATGTGAGCCAGAGTCACATGAGGTAACCAGGTAAGAGGACTTGAGAGACACAGTCAATTCAGAATAATAGGATAGGATCTAAACATGACAACCCCAGCTGGGGTTGTACCTCTGTGGTAGAGTGCATACATAGCATTTGTGAAACTCTGGGTTTGATTCTCAATACCAAAAATTACTGAAGAACGAATGAATAAAGTGATAGGCCAGTGGTGCTATTTTTGCCTTCAAAGCAACAGCACTTTTCCATTTTTTGTTGGTCCATTCACTTACCACTCAACAATCATTTAGTGTGCTCCTATTGTATGCCAAGGTCTGTGCCCAGTACTGGGCTACAGTGAATGAACAATCTCTGCCACTAAGGAGTTTATAGCCTACTAAACAGGGAAGAATGTTACAGATGGGTCCTTACAGAGGGCAGTCAGGGAACATGGAAGAAGGTATCTGATGTAAACTGTGGTTTCAGAAAACCTTCAAGGAGAAAGAGAAACCTTTGCTCTACATACAAAAAATATTTTTATGTGGTTTTGTTTCCCTGATGTGCTGGGGGCCCCCTCTATTTCTCCAAAGTCACCTCTTAGATAAAAGGCGCACCATCTTGGTCAAAAGAGAATCAGAAAAATAATTCATTAAAGGTCTCAACAACTTCCAACTCCAATATTGACAAACAAAAGCATTTTTAAATACTTAACAGTGTATTTTATTTATTTAGTGTTGTTTTTTATTTTTCATTTCATGGTATTTGTTAAACGGATGTGCATGTTAGCATTGTCTAGTTTAAACTGGAAAGATAACCACATAGTATCCATTTAAATATGCTTTCTGAAGTATTAAATGTGAGTGCTTGTAAGTATACTGATACTGGTGTTAAAAGACAGTCTTTAAGACTATAAATCTTCATCTCTATTTTTCAGACTAATGTAGTAGGAAATTCTTTAGGATGCACTTGGCATTCCTTGAGGAATTCTCCTGGTGAAAAGATCAACTTACTGAAAAGAAGCCTCCTTAGTATTCCTAATACAGATTACATCCAGCTGCTTAGTGAAATTGCCAAGGAACAAGGTTTTAACATAACGTATTTGGATATAGGTATGATTTTTTTCTTTGGCTTATCCCAAGATGTATTTCTTTTTAAAATGTGTTTGAAAAACAAAAATTTCTGTTATAATTTGTTATTTCATTGATCAAGGATTCTAACTATATATAATTGCCAGACCAGTATTATATATAATTGAGATGTCTTGATTCTTGTGGATAGTAATAATAGCTAACATACAGTTTCCATAATAAATGTCAATAGCTGAAAGTTATAGTTTAACTGTGTACTAAAGACATGTATCAATTAATGAATCCTCAAACTAACTCTGAAGTGAATTCTGTTATTCTTACTTATGAGTGAAGAAAGTAAGGCAGAGAAAGGTTGAGAAACTGACCCAAGACCACATAACTAGCCAGTAGTAGAATAAGATTAAGGAAAGAGGTTCAGACATGATGGTGCATACCTGTAATCCCACTGGCTCAGGAGGCTGAGGTAGGAGGATCACAAATTCAGAGCCAGCCTCAGCAACTTAGTAAGCCATAAGCAACTTAGTGAGACTCTTGTCTCATACTGAAAAATAAAAAGGCCTGGGGATGTGGCTTAGTGGTTAAGTGCTCCTGGGTTCAGTCCCTCATACCAAAAAATAAAAGATTAAAAAAAAAATAAGAAAATTAGGGAAAGAGTTCCAGCATATTCACTGGCTGTTATACTAGGTCTGTTGGGCATTTGGCAATTAAAAAGCACACCCATTTGTAGTACAAGTATCAAGTCTGTGTGGGCCAAACCATCTGTCCACTTAATCACTGAGTGCCATTTCTCGGCAGTAAATGGAAAAAAGTCAATTTGTAACTTTATTCCATCCCAGCTATCATCTATTATATTTTCCTTAATTTGTGGTCTTTTATATAGACAAATATGGACAAATGAGAAAGCAAGTCAGTGAAGATTTTATTTTAGTTCAATTTGTAAAGCTAGTTGTGTGTATGTGTGTGTCACACATTTGATATCTTGATTTAATATCAGCATAACAAGTGAAGAATTTGATATCCCTACTCCACTCTCAGTGAGATGTGGGAACTCAGCTGTCAGAGATACTAGTACTGGAAAATTAGAGTGGTCAGGGGATGAGAGAACTTTTGATATTCTCTGCTACTTTGGAATTAAATGATGAGTCATGCAGTGTCTTGATAAGCCAAGAATGATGAAGAACCCGGAAAATTAATGAAGAAAGATGGTCAGGAGAGATGGCTGATGGGAATCCATTCATTTAGCAAATATTTATTGATGTTTGTAGTTTGTTGAGAGTTTGGGATACAGAGATAAATGAGCTATGTCATGAATAGAGTTAACTATGGAAGATACAGAATCTCTGAAAAGAAGGAAATTTGAGATGGATATTTTGGATCGTGAATTAATTCCTTTGAAACTCTTATGAATTTTAAGAACTAAATCATTCTTATAAATATAGAACAAGGGGCTGGAGTTGTGGCTCAGCTGTAGAGCACTCGCCTAGCACATGTGAGGTGCTGGGTTTGATCCTCAGCACCACATTAAAAAAAAGTGTGTGTGTGTGTGTGTGTGTGTAAATAACAAGCTTTTGGCTAACTTTTAGGCAGCTATCTTCAAAGAAAATAGATAAATGACCAACAAACCTATGAAAAGATGTTCAACATCATTACTCAACTGGGAATTGCAAGTCAAAACTACTGTGTGGTACCACTGCACACTATATAGTCAAAACAATGGAAAATAGCAAGTGTCTGATGATGAAGAGATTGGAATCTCATACATTGTTGATGGAATGTAAAATAATTTAGCCACCATGGGAAAATTTCTTAGTTCCTTAAATTAATTGCCAGCAGTTTCACACCTAGCTACATAACCCACAAGAATTGAAAACTGGTATTCAAACAAATAACCAGTACACACATATTCCCAGAAGCAGTATTTGCAAGAGCCAAAAGTGGCAATGATCCAAATGTCCACCAACAAATGAATGAATAAACAAATGTGGAATATCCATTCAATAGAATATTATTCAGCTGTAAAAGGGAATGAAGTTCTAATATGTGCTACAACATAGAAGATAGTGAAAAACATGCTGAGTGAAAGAAGCCAGAAACAAAAGACTGCACATATTCTATGATTCTGTTTATATTAACTACCCACAGAAGGGTAATCCATAGACATTAAACACAGATGGTTGGTTGCTAGCATTGGGGAAGAGGGGATGGAGAGTAACAGTTTAAGGAGTTCAGGATATCCTCTTGGGGTGATGAAGATGTTTTGAAACTGGCTAGAGGGGCTACTTGGACATCACTATAAATTGCTGAATGCCACTAAATTGTTTATTTTAAAACGATTGGTTTTATGTGAATTTTCCTTAAATTTAAAAAGATAGTAGAACTAAAAAAAAAAAAAAGTCTCTTCACTCAATTGACTAGCTAAAATAGAAACATTTAATCATGACCACTTTGAATAAGTCATAAATTTACTTCTTAAGAACTCTTGCCTCAATTTACCATCTTCAGAAGAATGAGAAGAATGTGCATTTCCTGGGTTTAAGTGTTTTTTTGTTTTTTTTTTTAAATCTTTAATATTTATTTTTTAGTTTTTGGCAGACACAACATCTTTCTTTGTATGTGATGCTGAGGATCGAACCCGGGCCGCACTTATGCCAGGCGAGCGCGCTACCACTTGAGCCACATCCCCAGCCCTTAAGTATTGTTTTTAAAACACCATAACTGAGATTGCACAGACTTAAACCCTAAGAATAGGAAGGCACAAGAGAGGTCTTTCCCTGAACCAGATCGTTTCTTGTTTGAAATGCCTACTGAAAATGACTTCCAATGGGAAACAGCCTCTCTAGTCCTCTAGCAAATGGTTCTTTCCCTCTTAAGAAAGTTGCTTATTAGTATAGTGCTTTCCAAGCCTCATTCAACTAGTCACATTAGAGTTGCCTTGGGAGCTTACTTGAAATGCAGGAGCCAGCCACCTCCAGCCCCAACCCCATGCTTCTGATAGAATGGGCTAGCATTGAGTCCTAAACACCTGTGTTTCTTTGAAGTTCTGTCAGATGATTTGAAGCAGTATGTTTGAGAACTGCTATGACTGAACAACCATTTCTATTGTGAAGCTGGGGATTAAACCCAAGTGCTCTCCCACTGAGCTACATCCCCAGCCTTTTTTATTTAATTTTGAGTTCCCCAACCTGGCCTTGAACTTGTGATCCTCCTGCCTCAGCCTCCTGAGTTGCAGGGATTATAGGCGTGTACCATTGCACCTGACTCATTCTATGTTTTTTGTTTATACAAGCATGACAGAAATGATGAATGAATGAAATAGTGTACCATGGGTGAGAAAGACCAAAAAAAAAAAAAAAAGATTGTTTTTATAAAGGATCTGCTTTCTACAGTTGGCACTAATCATCATGTTTGCTTGTGTCATTACAGAAGAACTGAGTGCAAATGGGCAGTATCAGTGTCTCGCCGAACTGTCAACCAGTCCTATCACAGTCTGTCATGGCTCCGGCATCTCCTGTGGCAATGCACAGAGTGATGCCGCCCACAATGCTTTGCAGTATTTAAAGATAATAGCAGAAAGAAAGTAAACTTAGGGCAGCTTAGAAAGTCCTTCAGTAGCACATAAAAAGTTTCCGTCACTCCTTCCCCAGTAAAACTTCTACTGTATTGTTTGAGTTTGTGTGTTGTTTCCACATCTCTTCGGATTCCATCAACACTCCAGATTTAATTATCTCCTGGTAGTTATTACTAAGCTCTTTTTAATGGCTTCAACTTTGTATTGGTATATTGTCTTTATAAACTTTGTACCACGAAGCAGAGCAGGGCCAGGCAAATGGGAGGAAGAAGCTGCATGTTTGATGATGATGAAGAAGAAGAAAAAGAAATAAAACTACTGCTAGCAACAGTCTTACTGGTGCTTAAACAACCTCTTTTTTTCTTTTTTTTTTTGCGCAAGGCTTCATAATGGGAATTTGAAGGAAGCCCTTTAGGTTTAGATGTTGAGAGATGGCATTAACAGACTTTTACTGAATGTGATTGTTAAATTTCAGGGAACATGATTGGTCTCCTGTGTATTTGAAACCATGTAATAAAGAGCTGTTGTTATAATGAGGTTCTGCTCATTTTATTAAAGAGCTACTGACTTGACTTTGGCCCAGTCTTATAAATAATATTTTAATATGGATAGTTTATTATTTATATAACTCAAAAAGTCAAAGGTAAAAGAACCTGTAGCCTAAGCAAAATATATATGTGATAAATCACTTCCTTATTTTCTGTAAGCATATGCAACATTGTATTTTTGCTTTGACATAACCATTCTTAGATGAAGTAGTAGTTGAAAAATCATTAATGGCATTCCAGACAACCCCAGAACCTTTCCAGTTCGTTCAATTCCATTATAAGAATATTTGAAACAAAACAATGAGTGAAGGTAAGTCTCACAAATTTTTATTTTACTCTCCATATTTTCATATACCATCTGTGACACCTTAAGTCTCATCTGTCAGTGCCAGCTAGTACAAGCTTTGTAAATGAGAAGGAAGTCTTTTGGCCCTGTGTCCAGAGCTCAGGAGAGCCATGTAGATAGAGAAAGCAAGCTATGAATGATGACAGGAAGTTTTGATTATCTCAAGTGTTAATCCAACAACAGATAAGATAGAGCAAGATTTTGGAAAAGAATCATACCTGATTGGAACCCTTTAAGAATAATGAAACTACATTACAAAAGAAAACCAGTACATGTAACTTATTTGAAGTTCTAAAGAATACTCAACATAGTTTCACATTACAAGGTACATATATATCAATTACATTATGGAAATTTAGGTGCTTTTTTGGTGAGGTTGAGGAATGAGTTAAAGACTGGTGGCAAAGTTTAGGCATAAACAGGATCTTGTGAGCTTTTAAGATTGGACTAATCTTGGGTTTTTGTGAATGCTCTGGAATCTCTAGAGATAACAGTATGTTCTGTGTAGTGAAATATTAACTTTGAAGAGGATAAATTGGGTGAAGATTTCATAAGGCAATGGAAGAAGATTCTTGGATGAGGCCCAAGTGTGGGAAAGAATAATATAATTTTATTGTCCACAGTTCAAATATATTGATAAAGTGAGTGCTCAGAAGCCAAGCTCTTCCTGCTGCCTTTATTTCTTTGCTTCTGTCTGCAGAGAAAACATGTTCTTAGATACTACTCAAATGTCCCCTCTGTCAGGGCAACTAGACTTTCTAGGACCATTAGGTAGTCTTTAAATACCATTTTGTTAACTTCTCTTTTAGGTCTCTTTAATTGGTTGTGCCTTTTTTTTTTTTT